TTCTACATCAACATGTGTCCCCTCTTCTCCATGTCTCTTCTACATCAACATGTGTCCCCTCTTCTTCATGTCTCTTCTACATCAACATGTGTCCCCTCTTCTTCATGTCTCTTCTACATCAACATGTGTCCCCTCTTCTTCATGTCTCTTCTACATCAACATGTGTCCCCTCTTCTCCATGTCTCTTCTACATCAACATGTGTCCCCTCTTCTCCATGTCTCTTCTACATCAACATGTGTCCCCTCTTCTTCATGTCTCTTCTACATCAACATGTGTCCCCTCTGTGGAAAGAGACTCTGAAAGTTTCAGGAACAAAGATTCTCTCTCTTTTTGTCCTGATCCATTTCTATAAAAACCTGTCTGAAAATGAGCTGATCAGATTTTGGCCACTTTATGATGTCATAACGATGTTTTGGCTTGTGTAACCATTAGCCAATCAGCAACCAAGGTTTTTATCACCTGAATCTCCTCCTAGAGCACCATTGTGGGGAGGGGCTCCTTATTTTCATCTAAAGCAACAGACAGAGAATCAGCACTTTGGAAACAGGGCTGAAACAGAGGGGATTATGGGTAATGCTGCAATGATCTGTTTGGTGTTTCAGCCAATCAGAGACATGTTCTGTATATATCTGAGACCTATAATATATTGATGAAAAACAGTATAATAGGGGACCTTTAATGTATCCCCCCCTGACTTCAGGTCTACTTTACCCTTCCATAAAAGGTCCATCCTCTGGTCCATCTGTCCTGGCCTCCTCTCGTCTCTTTCCACCAGCTCCATCCATGGTCACAGCAGTTGGGCTCAGATTCAGACATTTCAGTGATTTCCCTCCAGTTTCTGGCTGCGGTCCTCTGGCTGGAGCCCAGGGGGCCGCAGTGACCAGATGCTGGCCTGCTGTAGAGCCTCTTGTCTGGGACACTCAGTCACCAGATGGCCCCTCACCTCTGGACCTCATCCCTCCTCTGTCAGGTCGGGAAACCCATCAGTCAATCCAGGACCTGTTCTACCTGGTTTCCTCGCTTTATAACTCACCTCAAAACTGACTGCTTTTACTATTTTTTTTATTTGAATTCTTCCCGACAGGCAAAGGTGTCCAACCTGAAATTGCTTATGTCTGGCCAATGGTACAAAATCTACAGATGTTTAATTCAAATCAGCAATAATCCCAACTGTGAAGCAGAATCAGAATACTTTATTTATCAAGGAAATTACTGATTATTTTTGATGAAATTAAATAAATGAATCAAATAAAACAAATTATAATAAAATAAGATGAATTTATATAAAATAAAAAATACCTTTTAACATATTTAATAAAACACAAATAAATTAATGATAGTTTGATGAGTAAAAGTAAAAATGTGCAAAAAGAAGTTACAATTAAATATAATTATTTTAATATTATTGAAAATTATAATACATAAATTATGAAAACCAGATTATTGCATTTACTGCGTTGAAATTGACATGAGGGACATTTGATATTCTTAATTTATTAATAAAAAAAACAATAACAAATTATTCATTTTTCAAAATACTTTAAATTTTGGCTGATTCACTTACGAATAAATTGAGCCCTTATCTTTGTACCCATGAGAAGAAACTGTCCAAAAAAACATTTGTCCTCCAGTTGTAGTGGCTTTTTATGACCGTTTCTGATCTGTGTTTTTACTAGTTTTCTTTGTTTACAGATGGCCTACTGTGAATACAAAATCAACCCTGAAATCTAACAGACTTTAAAGCACACACTCCATCAATGTCATGGAGCACTGAGGAGGAACTTGTGTGCTTCCTCTGTGCTGCGATTCGTTAATGTTAAATGTCACAGCGCGGCTCAGGGGGAGGACAGAGGGGAGGAGACCACACATGACATTAACTCAAGATTTATTTAACAAAAAGGAAAATTAACAACAACGTGATGTATCATTTGAATTGAGCAGCCAGAAGAGGTGTCCGTTATCCCGCTGATGGGCTTCCTGCTGGTCTCCCCGAGGGAAACGACACCACAGAGGACCAATCAACACTACAGAGCTGTAAGCCAAACACACACACACACACACACACACACACACACACACACACACACACACACACACACACACACACACACACACACACACACACACACACCAACACATTCATGTCTCTATGCCTGGAGGTACTACTATTCCAGTGTGTGTGTGTGTGTGTGTGTGTGTGTGTGTGTGTGTGTGTGTGTGTGTGTGTGTGTGTGTGTGTGTGTGTGTGTGTGGCCCCTGTTGTGAATGATGTGTCTGAAGGAGTTTCCCGCAGAGAGCTGCAGTGGTATTTTGTCACCAGGCAAAATGCAGACAGGAAACCCTACTGTGTGTGTGTGTGTGTGTGTGTGTGTGTGTGTGTGTGTGTGTGTGTGTGTGTGTGTGTGTGTGTGTGTGTGTGTGTGTGTGTGTGTGTGTGTGTGTGTCTGAAGAGTTAAATAAAATATCAAATGTGAGAGAGGGAGAG